TGTGTTTTTATTTCCGACGCATGCAGATTTCCTTAAGACATTCTCGGTCGCTGTTAACTTAGTTTTGTGTCCACGCGTACGACATAAGCGAAATACACGACTTAACTTGTTTTTGCGGCTTATTGTGTTTTCCCCAGATACATTTTTTAAAGAAACGAATGTAAATTAGCGACTGGCTACTTGAATGGAGATTGTAGTGCGTTCTATGTAGTAGTAAATTTTAATGATTGGTTGCGTCGCAGTGCGGCACGCTTCCAGCAGAGAGAACACGTCCGCGATCGTCTCGTGCTACTCCAAAATTATCTTGGAAACCGAATATTCTTTTGGTAAAAAATGGAATACATTTATAAAATTATGATATATGCAAGACTGACTTTGGCCTGATCACTTAACCTAATGCGTTAACATTTCCTCTTTATGTTCGTCTCATTTTGTTTTTAAGCTATTGCATAGCTTAGCATATTATGTCTAACTATTTTAGTTATGCCTAATAATAAGTGTTCTTTAATTTTAAAATTTTGATTGAAATGCCGCCGCTAGAAAAGGCTCTCTATTTGTATCTTAGTATTAATCCTTATAAAAATAAAGTACTTCATATTTAAGACTGTTTCAATATCTTTATATAACTTTCGAAATTATTAAATTCGGACATTCCATTCGAAAGATATCACATGTTTAAAAATGTTAGTATATTGTAATTTAACTATCCAAACAGCTTAGTGACTTACTTAGTAGTTCTTATCATTTTTTATCATAAATAATATAAATAAATTACACATAATAAATTATAATATACATTAATAATTATATTATTAAAAATATTATTATTTATTAATAATAAAATAAATATAATTGCAATAAGTTGATACAAGATGCTGTGCAATGCTTTACCGCGGCAGTCCCCGAGTGCCACAGTTGATTTTTTTGTGTTTTAGGAAACGCCTCCGCAACACACGTTGACGTGTATAAAACGTCCTTAATATTTAAAAATATATATATTTAAAAATATATACGAAATTTGATTTTCAAAATGCACTATTTTGTTTTCGATTTAGATAAATTGTTTGAAGTTTTCTAAAATTCAAAAAAAGGATGGAACATGAAAGGAGGAAGCGTTCATAAATAGCGTTCAAATAATATCGCGATCGAATGACTGCTTCATCGACTTCGCTTTCACGCTCTTCGTCTTCGTATTGGCGCGCGATCTTCGTCTGACGTTTGGTAACGAGATATTTCCAACTCGTCACACATAAATTCTCCGGGTAGATGGCGACAAAAACAATATTCGTTCTTTATACGCAATAAGACACGTCGAATTGTACCTGGTTGACATTATCTTGGGGCGTGTCCTTTCTTGTTCAGACGAATTCAATTGCTTTCCTCCACTCTTGTCTCCTTTTTCCTGTACACATGAAGAGTGAAATATGTGTTAGTGTTTTATTATTTGTTTAAGCATGATCTTTAACGATCTCGCTGGTTTTGGCCTTTAACTTATATAATAATCGTAATATCAATAATAAAATTATAAAAATGGTATAATAATTGTAGTATACTATCCTGAAACGTTTCATATTTACGATTTACTAGAATTAATTGAAAAGAACTAAAATAATTTCAAATTTTTGTCCAATAGCCTTGTGCAAACTCGCTCAATCAATCACCGAATCAACCGTTTCGTTCTGCCACCCGCAGTGCCAAAACCTAACTAACGAAAAATATATGTATGTCTAACTCAAAGTTTATACAACGATTGCTTATTCAAGGATGGCGTTTAATATGTCGATTGTTTCTTCGCATGAAGTGGAAAATATATATCACAGCTACGATTAAGAAGAAATTTTTAAAGTAATGGTGATGTATAAAATTATTGATACAATTACAATATATAGTATGCTGGCAAAGCTACACAACTTACACTTCTATTTCACGACCGTAATACTTCGGAAGAGTTCGTTTATTGAAAAGCAGAAATTGCTGCGTAGCTTGACTACAATAAAAACATTGTTTTTAACACAGTAAAAACTTGATACGAATTGCACGATACGTGTAAAATCCACTTGTGATCTCGGTAGATCATTCACTTGGCGTGTAGCGTTAAATTGATGTGATTTCAAGAGCTTCCCAACGCTAACGTCGAAGATGTTACCAGATAAACAAACAGCGATCTACGCGCAAACAGAGAATATCGCGATTCGTTAAACGTAAAGCGTATATTTGCTTTGTAATAAATCTAATCTGTGTTGTTTTTCAATCTTTCTGATAGAGCAGCAACAGCTTAAGACTGAACGAGTGACTGAATGACATCTTGAACGAGGTAGCACCAAGGCCTGGTATAAAACCGGAGTAAAGTGTCTAAACTTACCGGAGGCCTAATTGTAATAAAGTTAATTGAAAATCAGTAATCAAGACAAGTATTGTAGTAATAACTTACACAAGACTGGTCTGGACGTACATAGCAGACTCTTAAAATTATGTGCAGTATACGATATAGGTGATATACTCACATATATTATATTAAATATAATTATATAACATAAATAGGTTATACAACCGATTACCGATACATTACACATTACATGAATTCCACGATAAACTCTACCGCTATACGGGCTGGTTTCTCAACTAAAATATTTTTAATACCTAATATTTAAATATTTGAACATTTACAATATACTCAACACGTTTTTTTTATACTTATGGTAAGTATAATATTATCTAATAAATAACAACGTGTGTTATTTATTGGTTGTTAGTGTCTATGACCGTGACCCTCAGTTACCACCCGAAGAATAACAGGCAGTTGACATCTTTTGGAAACAAAAATATAAAGCGTGTAAAGTAGCCGCGCTTCCAAACGCCTCGCCTTCCGCAGTGCGACGAAACATGACATTAAAATTTACCAAAACCACTGGCAGTTACGAATGGGACGATACACGCACGGGCCTATTTACATACAGATACGTTTGTGACATCACAGCTTAGGGACGGCCCACGCTGACCGATAAGCAATTTAAATACACTTTTTGCGCAAGCGAACTCAGCTTTAAGGTTACGTATGTTTGGCGGTCCTTATTGGTCATAAGTTTTCTTTGTGCAAATTGTAGTTTGTAGAATAAAGGGTAATAATATAAAATTGAATGAGTACAAGTTTTTAAATAAATTCATATATGTAATCTAAACCAGTTTTGTTGTCTTTCTTCTAATCTTGATTTCAGAAAAGTGATGAAGAAATAAAAGGCATGTAAACTCCAATCTAGCTATTGTCATATCCATATTAAATACAGATTAAAGGTAATATCATCATATTTAGCTCTAGCATTTAATAGGCATACCGCACAACTACGATTGTAAGAATCGCTTCTTTAAGCACAATTTTATGTCAAATCCCAATTTACGGGCCTGAAACATTTTACATTCATTTTCAAAAATTTTGCTGCTCTCTCCGCAAGCCAGCCGAAGCGGTCTGTTAGGAATCTCTTTCAGGCTGGTAATTTGGATCGGAACTTTGGGGGAGATTTTGCTCCATAGAGAGAAAAATTGTAGTCGACGGCTTATAAAAAGGCAGCTCTGTAACAATAGCCCTCATTCGATTTATTCATTCTGTTCCTTTCGCCAGGTAGGCTCACCTTTATTGTCTTCATTATTTTCCTTTTATTAAGCCTCCTTTGTACCGCGCACTCCAATACAATGGAACTTTTTGTGTTGGGAAATGTTTAATTGATTTTTTAATATTCATTTTAAACATTATTATTGTTCGTGGTTATTGTACAAGCTTTTAATTTACGATACAAAAGATTGTAATTGCAATAAATAAAAAATATGAAACATCAAACAAAAATAGTTGTGTTAACTATTTTTTTAATATTTTTGGGGGAAATTAATATTAATATTAATACCTTCTTGTCTTAAAATATGAAGAAATAAAAATTGAAACGAATTGTTCAGAAAGTGTATCACTCAGTAGCGCAGTTGCTAAGCTTCGGCGTCGGGGCTCGTGGGTTCGATTTCCACACGGGGCATGTTCACAGTGGGTTTCACCACCACATATAAATCTAGTTCCTGATATAAGTTCAGGTTCTGGGTGTCTGTTCTCGCTAAGCGTTGACGTCAGGTAGGAGGCTGGTCGTAAAAAGTCCACCAAACACCATTAACAACATTATACACATGTTGGGCCAACTCCACCTTGGTGGCATAAGGGCAGGAGAGAGAGGAAATTGAAAGTTAAGAAAGTATATCCAACAGGCAGACGTATATGAAAATTTGGCTTTTTTGCCATTTTCTGTCTTACCAAAGCCCGACAAAGTTTGGCAACGCTTTCAAAAATACATAAAGTAATTGTTGAAACTTAGGTCTTTCAAATAATATATAGTGAACCTGATTGAGTTTACTAGTCTTTTTTCTTACAAAAAAACGGAAAAAATGAAAAAATCATCACGACTCGAATCGGGGTCTTCAGGTTTTAGGATCGCCCGCTACTCGTTTAAATGTATTGGATGTAAGGATATACAAATATGATTTAATTCTAAGCTTATGACACACATACCTAAGGCCTAAGTTTATACACATATTTATCAAAACTTTAACTACACAAAGCTATTTCCTAAGTTTATAGATATAATCCTGTTTAACGAAATATAGAGTCATAACAGCTCAGTGTATGGGCTTTCGCTTTTAATTCAATATACTCGAGCAACCTGAGTTCGAATCCTGGTGCCGACACCAATGCAATTGCTAACTTTGTGCTGATTTATCACGTGTATAGCGGTGAAGGAAAACATCGCGAGGAAACTTGCCTATTTCGAAATAATAACAAAAATAAAAATATCGAAGATAATATACGAAGTACGCCAAGCCGCAGTGGGGTCGCGTGATGGTCTATGCTCTAATACCCTCTGTATATTGAAGGCCTTTGAACAGCGGCATTACATATATAGACTTTCATCTTACTTGTTTTACTTTTGTCTCACTTTGCCTACAACACTGACATGTTTTGCGCAGATATGATGACGTGTCGGCTGGGCTCGCGGCGGCTGGGCGGGTCGCGCGGTTCGCTGCAGGGCACCGGATGTGCCGCCAGCGAGCTGGACCTTTCCACACGCTCGCGACGATCCCACAAAGCGAGGTCTGTAAACACTGGTCGCCTTTTGTACCATCTTACTTGTAAGAATTCGACACTAGTAGCATAGTGGATAGAGCGTCCAGACGTGAAGAAGGCGCACTTTCGAATTTATGCAGCGACAAAAATTTATTTTTCTACAATTTTATTATTATAATAATACCACACATTTTGAGTTTCATTCGTAAAATCGTTTTATTTTACAAGCATAAAAAAATTGTTTATTCATGAAAAAAATTTTTACTGTCAATGTGACCATGTTCAGTGAAGTTTTTATTCAAGAGTATACGTAATTTGCTTTTATTTCATTCATCAAGGCTAGAACAAAAATAGAGGCTGAACATGCTCGTATGCAACGATTAGTTTAGATTAAAACGTAAAGTTACGGTCCGGTAATAAAACTTACTCCGTTGAAACACACACAACAATTGAAATTCTCAGTGCGATAGCATTAATAAATTTCCATTAAATTCTATTTAGTAAGATCGTGCGATGTTACGTATGCACTGCAAATTTCAGATGTACAAAACTCACCAATATTAGTAGTTATTTGAAATACTATATATAGTTCCAAAACTTTGGAGTGATTACAGGATGAATGCATTCACCAATGATTATATGCATGCTATGATTACCAATTCTACGTTTAATGCAGTAGGTAATAAGGTAATTTTACTATTACAACATACAATTTTCTGAATTAGTTTCGGTAAATGACCATCCGTGATGATTACAAAAACCATTTAAACTTTTTTAGTAAGTATAAAGTAAAATATCAAGTTACAATGAGATGTCATTAACTGTCATTAAATGTCGCAACGATTAAATGTCCTCGTTGGTTAATAACTTTAAATATTTTCAAATAACTTAAGATATCGTCAATATTTAATAACTTATTCCACTGCGAATGTGTAAAACAGAATGCATTCTGTTGGAATTTATTGTATGCAATTAAATATTTTGTTTGCTGGTTATCAATTTCATACAAGCGCCATGTCATACATATGAGAACCGATATTAAGTTTCGAGCTCACTTCTAAGTAGTACCTTACATGTCAAGAGGGTCGCATTAATCTGCAGACCCGACCAGCAAACCTTTATGCGAACCGTCTTTAAAGCTTGTCTTAAGTTGAAGTTTTAGCTGGAATATATACATTTCACAACGTACCCTGATAAAATTGTTCAAGTTTTGAAATACCTTTGAGTTGTTACTTTATTTTATTTGAAATAAATTTATATAATACAACTGTCTGACCCGGCAAACGTTGTTTTGCCATATAAATTATTTGTAGGGTAGAAAAAAATGTTTGGGGTGGACCACTCTTAACATTTAGGGACATGAAGAATAAATGTTGTCCGATTCTTCACCCTGGCCGATATGCACACAAAATTTCACGAAAATCGGTCGAGCCGTTTTGGAGGAGTTAAATTACAAACACGTGACACGAGAATTTTTTATATTAGATTAAAACAGTAAAGTAAGCATTCAAATAATTAAAATGGATGTGGATGAGTGAGAGGCAAACTTTGCACATTGTGATCGAAATGGAATCTGTCAAGTTGCGGATAACGATAAAAAAGATATATCGCGCTTATAACACTTTCAACATCACTGGGTTACGGTGCCATATATTTTTAGGCTCAATGACAGCGCGACTTCGGACATATTCTCTACAGTTAATATCTTTATCGTGATTGATAGTAACAAACGTAGAAAGTTTTATTCTACTATCTACTGGAATAAAACTATAGTGATTTTCCAGAGATATTTAATTTAATTTTATATAGGTCCGCTCCGAATAGCAATAAAGCTCTTAAAAAAAATTACGCGCCATCTAGTTGTTCTGTACAATCTGAGCAAATCACTCAATAAGATTGCACTTTTAAAAATATGTTTGAAAAAGTAACAATTTTTTTATAATGTTGTTTGTTTAACCCAGTTTGTTTATATTTTGATTTAATTAATAATTGTATCTACTCGTAATATGTTATAAGATACGGCTAACACGGTTTTTATTATCCATGGAATATCAAGAAACAATTTCATGAAGTAGCTAATATGGCTATAAAAATTAAAGATCAGACAATGTAGGCAAAATAATGAGAGTATTCAAACGCTAGATTAAAAATATTTGCTTGCGAGCACTCTCTTTCAAATGCATCTGCGGAGAAGTTATTTTAAAATACTTTAGAATATTTTCTCCCCGGGTAAATACAAAAATTAAGATTATCTCCTCTCGTCTGTGTATCTTTGTCACTAACTGTGCTTTTAAATAACAATTCCAAAGTGATTTAGGTAAAAAATCACTAAACCGTTTTACCTTTGCTGCAAAAAACTTCATCCATTGAACACAAGGTAAGGAACCTTAAAATATGTAGAAAAAGTGCGAAAAGATTGTCGCCGCTGTGGGAATCGAACCCACGTCTTCGGCATTCGCGGCCTGACGCTCTAGCCACTGAGCTAAACGGCTGATTACCACACCGACGAAAATCTTAACGCATTCTTCCACATTGTTTTCTTATCATTTGAAGCAATGCTTGGCGCCATCTATTGTTATATCCTTTCCAGCATACAAACAACTTCGAATATCGTTTTACAACGATAATTCGAACGAGAGATGTCGCCATTGCTTTTTTTAGAAATTTAAATTGTTTATAGTGCTAATCTTTGCACTTAAGATTGAACATTAAAATCGCACTTTTTCTACATATTTTAATGTTTAATCTAAAGTGCAAAGATTAGCACTATAAACAATTTAAAGGTAAGGAACCTTTAAATTTCATAATTTGTCCCCTTAAATCCAGGAAGGTAATTTTAAAATGATTGATGTTAGATGATTTTACTTTTTTAAGTAAGGAAATATTAAAAATACAATCTTATCCTTCGTGCAGCACTTCACACCCTTCATTATGTTTGAAGAGTGGATTCTTTAAAAGTACAATATTACTTTCTTCTTAGTATTACGTATAGCCTGAGTTAGCTGTATGCATAAATTATAATATATTCTTATTCTTATGTTTTCTCTTCTACAATCCTATTGATCCGATTGAATGATTGCAATATTTACGTTAATTATAATATAATTTATGCAAATATTACATTACATTAATTAAGTAACTTTGTTTAGAGCAATTACAGCTATTATTGGGGAATTTGTAAGCTGTTATATTTGTAAAAATAATTTGTTAATTTCACTATAAATGTTGGCATAATTTGGCCCATATTGAAGTCTCATCTTATAAGCTTTCTTCTTGTCTGAAATATTGTTGAATTTTTTGCAAGCGCAAAAAGGGCTTCTTACCTCTAATATTGTTGAAGGCGTCTTTTCGGAAGGTATCAATTTTCTTAACGTGGCATGTTTAAGCGTGCGGTGTCTCCATTAAGGCAACGGTTAAGTGGTTCGAGGGCCTGTCTCTTGTTTGCTGAGGGAGGAGGGCCCTCAGTTAGAGTACCACCTTAATCACAAGTATTGAATTGATGAGCTATCGCTTCTATAATCCAAGAGTTTTATAGCGAGTTATATAAACACGCAAATTGAATATTATTATTGGATATTGAGTACGCAGCCATATTAATATAATCAATGTTGGTGTACTGAAATAATGGTTCCAATTAAGTTGGTCACACTGGCCGGAGTACTGACACTATTCATTCGTAAACGAAATCCAAAAAAAATAAAGCCATATTTTTATGTCCACGTCTTATTTTTTTATGGATTATGTAATAACTATTTAAAAATATTTTATATAATAACATTTTTAAAAACTAAATATATATGGGACGGTTATCAACTACCAAATATACTTTCTTTATGCCTATTATCAAACCCTTTATTAGCTATTTATGCCGTCTCCATTTAGTTATGATTAAAAGAAGTGAAACTCAATATTTTTTTTTAAATAAATAAGTGAATATAGTAAAGTAGAGTTAATGCTCTAAAAGCCTGTTTGTGTCCTCGGAATCAAGCGGGATATTTTGCGGCGAGCGTGTCACAGGCAAAATCTATCATTTCGCGTCGGCTACGTTAAGCCGGTGAATTTCGTATATGTGGGGCATATCAACGTCCCCCCAATAGAAGCGATCACGTTTTTGAACGGTTTATATCTCGTTTTCCGTTTCGTGGGTGGCCCTTTTAGATTTCGGCGTACCGAAGCAACGGGAATCCGATTTCAAACGGTGGTCGCCCGTGTGCTACTAAAGCTTCGTTTTCAAACGTTCAACTTTGCAGGAGGACTAAATTGTTTGTTTGTTTGTTCGTTGATAGTGACGCTTTGTTGTCTGAGACAAATTAGAATTGGATTCGTTAAAATCTTTTACGGTCTCTTCTGGTGTATTCATTTAATTACACGAACATAACTAAATGGTACATTATTAAATACATTATTTTATGGTAAACTTTGGTCTTTTCTGTATTTTTATAGAACCACTTGGTACAACCGTAAAATTTACTATATAAAATACGAAGTGAACTCTATATCATGAACCGCAATACAATATGTTACGCTTTACTTAAAACTCGTCATTGCTATATTTTAGAAATTCCTCTTCTTCAATCTCTATTTTAAACCTTTAGGGCATTATCCGAAACATGAACCACCGTCTTTATTTCATTATATTCGTATTTATTTAGATCCAGACTATTTATAATATTCGAAAAAATTTAATGAATAAAAATTATTTCTTCGTTGAAGACGAAAGCTTTGAGCGGTTTTCTCGACTGCGGGATGCTGATCAGTTTATATATATAGGTACATATTTTGTTCCTCTGTGTAGGGCTTTAGAGACCAAACGCTTGGCCCGAATTTCATGGTTCTTCCTGAGATCTTCTTGCTCCTTGATGTGAAATAGTTATAAAAATACTCTCAATAATAATCTAAGGTAATTGAGAACCTTGCTTGTATGTTTTTCTTTTTATATTTTGTTACCTCAGTTTATAAATTCGTTTTGCATTCGGTTCGGTTTAGCTCTCCTTATGAAATAAAATTAAATTCATTGATAATGGACCTTTGACTCCAGAGATACTTTACGAAATTGCTCAAAATCTGTAGATATTTGAAGTATTTTGGGTTTTTGTTACTAGTCAATTCTACTTACCTACTTGTTTGATATGGTTCAGTACCATATGGGTTGTACACCGTGAACTGAGGTGCCTTTCACGTTGACAGATTAAAACTGTTGGGTGCAAGCGGCGAGGCGCCACTGCTCAGCGGTTGGAGGAGCACGCCGCACACGCCAGCCACGCCCGCGCCCCACCACTCGCAAAACCACCTCGCCACGCCGCATTGCAACGGAACTGATAGGTGTTCATGCTATTAATTTGTTTACACTTTATGCACAAATAGTACCAAATCGTAACAAATAGCACCACATAGTACCAAATAGAGCCAAATGGTACCAAATAGTACCATATAGTACGGAATAGTACCAAACAGGGCCAAGGTGGTCTCACTTCCAAAGGCATTATTTCCCAGCCAACCTTTGGGTGGTACAGAGAAAATTAGGTCGATGTACTGAAAAAAATCAAACAAAGAACACGCGCCAACATTAACTAAATATTTTATATAAATGCGCTTCGGCTGAACGATTGTGAGTAAGGTAACAGAGGGTCTACTTCTCTTTAAAGGTTGGCAACGTATTTGCAACCGTTCGGGTCTCAGGTTTCCATGGTGAGTCATCATAAAATAAGGTTAACCACCCGGTTGCTTGCCAACTTTTCACACTATAAAAATGTGTTTAGCAATTTTCTTTTAGTTTTAGTTATTCGATTATATACATGGTTTTAGACTCAATGAATTCATAACGTGACATTTAGTATCGTCAGGTATTAGCATCAGTTGCGGGAATCCCCTAATGATAAGATATTGGAAAATGCCATATAGTCAGGAAGATACCCATAGTGAATTAACTCACAACATTAGATCTGCATATTCTTCAGACTTATACTCCATAAAGGGACACTGTTGGCCCTACTTCCGCGTTTCACGCCGGAAGAATCCCGTTTGAAAAAAAAAACCCTTTAAAATAGTTCAAGTGTTTCCTAGCTTGTTCTAGTCCTAGTTTGTTAGCTTGTTAAGGTTGTAGTGTTTGGTATAGTTTATGAGTTTAGCCGTGGAGGATATTTTATGAATAAATGATCACACATATATTGAATATACAGTCGACCGTCAGTCCTTAGCTCGCGAGCAAGTACCGTGGCTTTAGGAAAAACCTGCGTAAATAAGAAGTATCAATATGTTTTCATTTCGACTGATCAGTGCGGTGAACGAGGCACACCCTTTTAAAGGGTAGCAAGGCAAGTTTTACAGTTTTGTAACCTCTTTGTTTTAAATGTACGTAGGTGGCGATAATTATTCATCCGCTCCATCGCCCTCTACTTTTATAAAACAGCCTCTAAAAGCGTTGCATGTCGCGAATGCGGTCACTCGATTTCGGCTAAAGCTATTTTCTGCAACGCATTCTTAATGGAAAGCGGAACGATTTTTTTTACTTTTATATTGAGATGAACCTTACGATAATGGATGACTGGTCAGAAAGTCGAAGTACGCTAAAGTGCAAAAATGACATTTCATTTTAAACAAGGGTACCTCCATGCGTGTTAATGCTGTCGTGATTTAATGTAAAACATTCTAGTTTTTACGTATGTATTTAAATACTTATATAAAACAGAATATGTGAGTTTGTAAATGTTTGCAAATTTTAACAGTTCACGACACTAAAAGTTATCATAAATTTACTATATCAGATTTTGTTAATTTTAACTAAAATGTCCATTGGATATTTGTGTTCATTAACGTGTGATTACGATAATGATTCAGTGACATGAAACATTAACAGTACCCTCGGGCATAAATAATATTTGCGCTATATCAATACAGCTTTTACCACTGTAACTAGAATTCGCTATTCGATAGTCGTAAAGAGCTTATCTAAAAGACTGATACGCATGAAAGGCGGAGACTTTTTTTTTCGCAATTCTGTAATAGAAAGTCATAGAAGACAAGTAACGGTTTACAGATTCAGATGCAAGTTGAAAAAACATATTCAGTACTAATACTTTTGTAAATGGTTGAAATATCTGTAATGATTTAAAACACGTCTATTTAAAGTCAATCATTTAACTTAGAACAATTTAAGTCAATTCGTCTGAGCGTACTTCTGTTAACAGACTCCGTGTTTTGATGACTCCGTGGCGCAGTTGCCAAGTTATTGGCTTCGGCGTCGGGGGTCGTGGGTTCGATTCCCACACGGGACAACTATTTGTGTGACCCACAGATAGTTGTTTCGCATCTGGGTGTTTGTCCGCGTGAAATTTATGTTTGTAAAACGTCCTTTACAACACAGGATAATATTATCCTAAAGCAAGGGCAGTGTTTTTTAAAGAAAAAAGAAAGAAATAAAACAGAATTTCGAAATTTGATTACTGGTTTTTTTATTACAGTTTACGGTTTTTATTTAATGAACAGTGAGAAACAAATGTTGAGTATTTAAATTTGTATAACGCTAATCTCTGCACTTAAGATGACATATTAATTTGTACAAAAATGGACGCTTGCTGGCTGGTGCAGCCGTTTTACTGTCGAAAAACTTTTCGTCCATTTTTTCTACAATCTTTAAATGTCGAGTAGATTTGCAGTCAAATCCTACGAATCTATATTTAACATAAATGCTTGTACGGAAGACGGATTTATCACTTTTTAATTTATCTTCAAGCCTAGAAGACTATTTGATGTTCGATTAAACTGAGAGAAGTTCAAATAAAATTTCGGTTTATAAAAGAGAAACGTTGGGATTTCAAGAAATCCTTGAAGCTCGTTTCCCGGACGAGTCGCAAAATCTTTAACGAGCTCTTTTGTGAAATTCTGTCGGAACGAATTTTCCGATGGGAGACTTAGCGCGGCCACTAGAACATTGGCAATTTCTGTAACGTTGCAGAAGTTAAGTAACGAGGATAGTTTCCATTAGGGGCTCCGTTAGTCTGATTGCCTCTTTATCTGGCAAAAAATCCGTTTCCCGGTCGTTAGTATATGCAAAGAAACCAGAAAGTAGAGGAGGGAATAAATTTATCTGATATGGATCTATAAGAAAACAAGTATGTATAAGAATATTAGTCAGTGTTTAATTTATTACGAAACACGAGTTCAGTAATATTTGTTAAAATGTTAAAAACAAACATTTTTCTTTAATGGGTAATAATGCCACTGTTTGTTTTTTCTTTTTACAATTTTGATACCATTAGTTATTTTATGTTTTTTTGAGAACATCCTATTTAATGATTCAATAGCCTTTCTCAATTGTCATAACTAATAATAAAATTACAAGAATATTCTCATAATTCTTGATTCCTTCCTCGTGATAGTACTTGAAATTTATTTTATGGAAGATAGAGGTAGATAGATCCCCCATACAATAAATTTCAAATACTAAAAATTTTGCAAGAACTCAAAAATCGATTGCACATTTCCCTTTAAGTCAGGACTAGAGTTCGAATAGAGTGATTTTTAACAGAGATGAGGGTTATTTATTTACAAATTTTATATTTGTTATTTTACATGTAATATAATATTACAAATTTTAAACGTTACACATTATGTAACAGCTATAAATACTGAATCCGTATTTGTATTGGTTGAGGTATAAGTGTTGTTCATTACGGACGTGTTTGTACCGAGAATGCAAATCTTGAACCTATTGAAACTGCACTAGCCTTAGATAATGAATCTGGCATTGCTGGCACCACAATCTAGTGGTGAGCCTCCTTCCGCCGAGTTTCCGTGAGATTAATTGGATATGCAGGCCCGAGAGCCTTGCGGCTTTAACACAGGTGTTTAATACGGATCCAATAATTTAGACGCTATAACTGTTTCAAACTTAAATCGTTAACGCGATTAACGCGACAAGTAAAATAGTTAGTAACGTTACAACCCATTACTAAATTAGAATTTACTCATTGTAAAGAATTTGGCTCAGAATTAATGTCGTTTATGAGTGAAGTCAAACTTTTATATATTTAAGCCACCGCTTTGCTAAATAAATTAGTTTTTTTTACATAGGTAGAATAAAAGTATTCTCTGAATATTTTAATTCGGCTTGTGATCAATCACTATGCCTATTTTTTGCAATCAGTTCAGCTGATTTTTTGAAATTAAATAATAAATACATGAATAAAATAGCCTCATAGCCAAGGAGAAAAAATAAAAAATGACTAAAATGTTGTAAATAATACATGTTCAATACGCACAACTGCGCACTTGAGATATGGGACTCAGGCTTTACCTTTAGCGGTATACAAAAGGCTCCTTTCTACATTCATATCGTTTCAAATAGAACGTAAGCGAATAAATAATATTTGCTCATGTAAAAAACATATGTTATTGCTACAAGACAATACTGGTTATTTGGTTCACGATGTTCCCACCCCAGCAGTCACGTTCCAACAAAATTGATTGCTAGATCTCATGAAAGTATGTACAGATATAATAACAAATGAACCGTTCCCTTCAATCGTGCGTACAGGGCCAATCAGAAATTGAAAAGAAAATAGACCCGTCGCAATCTAATTACACGGGCTCATTTCGTTACTTGAGGCAAATTGAAATTGTTCAAAGTAATAACAGCAGAGTTGGTATTGCTTAAATTATTAAATTATCACTTATTATGCATAATTATGTTAATTTTTTAATATGTTCTGTTTGCATCAATAACAACGCCATATAAATAAGCTGGTTGAATTATACACTTTATAAATGTTATATGCTTAAGTATATCATGTTTTCAACAATAATTAGTTGTTTTTAGGTTACAAATATTACAATATTTTGTACAAGCAAAGATTATGTCATATACAAATATATTTTCGAGCAATTTACAACAACGCCTGTTGTGATTACATTATCACTCAAAACATAGGGAGTGTAGTAAATATTTATGATTGTAGAGCAGTAATCTGAAAAATTAAACAGATAAAAAAGATAAATAATAAATAGTTATTTTGTTCCAGTTTGCACTGAAATAACATTTTAAGACGTACTATATAATATATTTCCTGTACAAGCGGGCACCTATTTAAAACTTGTCTATTTAATCCGTCACAAGTTTCTTCGTTATAGCGTGTGGAGTGAGTCAAAAGCAGATTATCAAAACTACCGTAGACTAAATTCAATGCATGCGAAAAGTTTGAGTACCGCTATTGTTTGAGTATAACTTTGTTGTTTTTACTGTGCTGTTTTGTTCAGTGGCAGCAGAGGGGGTCTGAGGAGACGGTCGACTTACACCAGCGGGCGGTTACGCTCCGGGGCGCACTGGTCCTTTGTTTTCGACCCAGCTGGCCGCCTCTGCTACTACTGGTCCATGGTCGTTTCCCTCGCCTTCCTATACAACCTATGGGTCATCGTTTATAGGTTCGCCTTCCAAGAGATCAATGGTATGTAAAACACGATATAACGTTAATTTTGTATAATTGATATCTTGTATACAGCGTGTCTTTACAATCGCGACAATAAATGAACACACATATAGCGGATAACTTTTTAAAATTGTATTAAACATTTACTTTCTTTAAACATCAATATTTACAGAGTTATTAAAAAACTGTAACGTAAAGTTCATTTGTAAAGGTCACAAAGCAATCAGGGTTGAATGAATTTAAAAGAGACAAAACATACTGTAGAGGCTTGTAATGCGACGCTGTGGCAACGAATGAAAAAGTCTCTGAATGTATGAATCAGTCAGTTGTAGTCGTATAGGATGTTACAAATTTTGTTTTTTTAACTTAGTTTGAAAAATATTTTTTTTAAATATGGTTTTTTTTAACGTTAATATTTTTTATGATTATTGGCAAGTAACGTTAGACGTGTGTTCATTTATTGTCGCGATGGTAACGACACGCTGTATATTAACATTTTATATAATTGAAAACAAAATTGATATCTTGTATAAATCCAATATATTTTATGTATAATATTATATATTTTTTTCAACCGAGTTCAAGAAAGGACGTGGTACTCAATTTTATTGTACGTTTTTTTTCATTATACTTGTAGCCTCAGAACTCCGTCATTTATGAAACGATTTTAAAAGTTATTTTTGTTATTTTTGTCGTTTTAACTCCTTAGTACATACATAAGTCGTCCCCTATTATTTTTTATCGGGATCGGACCCTGGGCTCCGGAGATACATCTTGAAACTCGTCAAATTCAATCAGAAAAAGTATCGTGAGTGAGATATTTGAAGCTGGTTTTTTTGCCACTAAAAATGTTAATTCAATTTTTCTTTATTTTTATTCGGATTTGCTTTCGCTTTTTTCCCTGGACTTTCATTACGTTTAGGTCCGTCAAAAATCGTAGAAAGCGTATAAGTTTGCAGACTTTGTTTAAAAACGAAGAATTGCGCATAAATCTCTTTCTCTTTCATTTTTTTTCTTTAAGTTTTTATTAAATGTCAATAACACATAACGTTAATGCGGTTTTCTTCAACAGATGGAGTTCATATAGAACTTTAAGTGGATAAAAATCAAATTTTGACTCTCGTTCCTATGCAAAAGACGTATCTACTTAAGATTGCAACCTAGATTAATTGCAAGGATCGGGTTGCAACGACTTAGCGCACTTGGAGCATAGTTTTCCTCAACTTGTTCCGCTGAAAATTAAATAACTTACCTAAATAGCTTTTCTGAGTTAAACGTCTAGCGTTGAACATGGCGCCGCGAAGGATACGCTTCGACGTTACTCCGCTAAGTTTTCAATTGTTTTATTTACACTTCAAAGGCCGCGAAAACTTTCGAAGCCATGAAATCTGGTCCGAAATGACTCATAGTTCTCGAGAGTTGAATGAACAGTTTTGATCAAGACCATAAATTTATTACGAGCTCCAAAATTTATAATTTGTTTTTGTTGTAATAAATTTTTGGAAGTTACACTTCTTTTGGAGCGTTAAATATGAGTGAATAAAGTTATTGCGACGCGTGCGCACACCAACTGCGACATGCTGAAGTTAGTTGCGAGGCGACCAACTTCGACCAACTTCACGGTATTAGCGTGATAAACAATAACAACTTTTTGACATTTACCTATAATTCGAAATTATCAATTGCATTTAATGTCTTTTTCACAAACAAGGGGCAATGGCATAGGGGTTATTTTTTTGTCTTTTGTTACGCCACACACACGTTATTTTTTTTACTTTTCCATCGAAGCTAAAATACGTTTTTGTTTCAGGCGAGACGTTGATAGTGTGGTTCTGTTTGGACTACTTTTCGGATTTCCTTTACCTCGCGGACATTTTATTTCATTTCCGAACGGGCTACCTGGAAGACGGCGTGTTGCAGACGGACGCGGCGAAGCTGAGGGCTCACTATATGAACTCGACCACGTTCTACATCGACTGCCTGTGCTTGTTGCCGCTCGACTTCCTCTACCTATCCATCGGGTTCAACTCCATCTTGCGTTCCTTCCGTCTCGTCAAGATCTACCGTTTCTGGGCGTTCATGGACCGCACGGAGCGCCACACGAACTATCCTAACCTGTTTAGGTCGACCAGTTTAATACATTATTTGTTAGTGATATTCCATTGGAATGGGTGCTTGTACCATATAATATATAAAAACAATGGATTTGGTAGTAAAAACTGGGTGTATCATGACACTGAATCGGCTGACGTGGTGAAACAGTACCTCCAGAGTTATTATTGGTGCACGTTGGCGCTCACCACTATTGGTAAGTTGTGATTTAATTCAACATTTAGTATAATGGTACTTGATTGTATATATGTCATAGTGTTAATATTTGCCTTGTCGCTGGCAAACATACCTTGGCTTATTATAAATTCAGGGTTACACCAAACATGAGCGGTGTAAATGTTGGTTTATCCTTAACAACATAAACCCTTCCATGCAGTGCCCTAAATTTACCTTTGGATATTTATAGGGATAGCAGTGGAGCACCTGTTATAATGTATGTTAAATTTTACGCCGACCTCTATGAATTTTAATTATGTTTTGGAAATATTTCCTGCCTTAAATATTTTCATATTTAATGCAAATTCATGTTTAAAAATAGTATTATTTTACTGTCGTCTTAGAATATTTAAGCTGCATAGCCAGGACTAGTAAAACTGCAAAGGCAAAAATAAATAATTTCTTTACTAATTATTGTTATTAAACAAGTGAATCCCTGATGTTCTTCGAAATGCCTTAGTTATAAAAACAGTACAAAACACACAAAAATAAAAAATATATTAATATAAAAATAAATTCTTGTCAGAAACATAAATTGAAATTAAATTAATTGGATTAAAACGATTGAATCAACTAATACCCAAAACTAATAACAATAAAAACGAAGTGCTCCATAAGAGTAATTCTAACGAATTATATAGGTAAGTTCATTTGATGACTAAAGAGATGCTCTGGCTCTACCTGAAAAGGTGTAACGTATTTAATATAACGTATGAATTTAATTCGACCGGAAAATTGCGCACTCACGGAAATTGCCATTATTTCCTCGAGGATCACTCGTTAACGCAAGCCTGAAGCCACCGTTAAAGTTGATAGCAGCACAGATTGCGTGACACCGTTTCATTATGTTGTAACGTATTCATCAAAATTTACAAATAACGACGTCATGATTCAGCTCTTAATGAATAATTTTATTCATTGACATATTAAAAATTCCGACGGCACCAAACGATATTTCAAAAGTAAGCTTGTAAGACGTATACTTTTTTTACATAAATCACTCATTTATGACTTGAAATCGAAATGGTTATAAAAATTGCTTTTGCGTAAGAGTTTGCCGTTAAAAATCGGCCCGTTAAATTTAACAAAAAAACTGATACCAAAATGATATGGTAATTAACTGAAATAACGTTATAACGTTTCTATTTTTTTTCTTTATCGCAAATATTTAATTTCTGAGGATTCCTTTACTTTAAATAGTTTATTTCGACTTAATTTGGACATTGGTTACGTTTATTAATTTCAGACATAAAAGTGAAGCAAAACAAAATCGTCACTGTCTCATCTAGTTTGTGAAATTTATGATTGCTTTTTAAAGTTGTGTAAACTCCTAACGGTAAAGGTATGAATTATCTATAAGCTTTAGAAGAACTAGAAGGACTTAATGGAAGCGGTTTTAAAATTCACGAAGCCTCATTGAAGTAAGTTGTTTTATTAAGGAATAGCTGTATTAAAATTCTTGCACTAGGTAGCCAATCTTCAAAGTAATAATTGTAACGGGGAAGAAGTGAGATTAGACTTTTGAAGGAGCCAAAGATTTTATAAGATTTCATTATGCAAATGAAATTTAAAAGAACGTAAAATGTCTCTTTGAGACGCTTGAAGTAAGCTTCATCGACGTCAAGTAGTTGAGATGGTACCCCTTGTTTATCGACTGAGATCGGTGTCGAGTCGTTTGCCTCTCGAGTAGTCTAGAGTTTCTATTATATTTCTAGAGTTATTTCTAATTTTTCTATATCTGTGAGGTTATTTAAAATTCTAAATAAATTCTTTAAATTACTGAATAAATTTCTAATAAATTCGGGAATAAATCACTTTAGTCGCTAATAAAAATTATAACATTTGTGTAAAAACCCGAAAGCTAATAAAGATTTTTTTTGATAAAAAAAATTGAAAACGAAGATTTGTTACTCTTTGACTCTTGGTCATTTTGCAGCCAATGACCATAATTATATGTTTTACATACCAATGCTTATATTGTTGGCTTTTGGTTGTCAATATAGTAAACCAAATGTAATTTTATCAGGCTAATTTAAAGAATAATTTGGAATATATGTGAAATAAACAAGTTGTCATGTTAAGGTATTATTTGTTTTATAATACAACAGAGTGTTTCTTGTCCATAGAATTATTTTGATAACATTTATTTCGAAAGAAATATACGAAATAAAAAAATCTGAAGATTATTAGAAGTAAAGTATGACTTTAATTTGCAAATGCGAACTGAGACGGCTTCCGCAGATCTCTCGTAATACCATCGTTAATTAGATCGCAGGTGAAGTTGCTGGCTTACAATGATTAACAGAATTAATAATAAACTGTGCGTGACTCCCCGCTCAACTCGATAGAGATGGCGCAGCCTCGCCGGAGGTAGCCATTTTCCGACCGTAAATAGGGAATAATTGCAGGAAGGATAGCGCTTATTTATTTTACTAACACAGTGCAAATAAAGTCTGCCTCGCACACGTGCGATACGATAACATTCAAATTGCTTTTTCAAATATATGTCTCGTATATTTCTGCTGAAAAATCGTGAACGGTTGGAGCTTGGCAAAGAATTCTGGTTCATAAATTTTTTGATTTAAATTTCTGATCTTAATTAAAATATAAAGGTACATGGTGGTATTAGAGATGTTAATAAATATATCAGTGCACAAAAAGGCTTACAAAAACTCTTACTTAACAAGAGTTATCCGACGTCTGCGCTTAAAGTTCTCATAGAATTAACGGTTCTTAATGAAACTTTGCCCAAGTCAAACAGTGTAACTTTACTACCTCCAACATTGCTTCACCTTAAGGGTCATTTTAACGTTTACACTACGAGGAAGCATTTAATGAAATATTTTTATGGTTTCTAAATCGCCTTTGAAGGAAGCTAAACTTTAAATTTCTTAGAGAATTGGAGTTTTGATTCTTGTACAAGAATTATAACCATGTGTGAATGATAATTATTCTTTTTGGCAAAGAAAAGATAAAATGCATTATGAATACTGTTATATTAAGAAATAAACAAACAACATAGAATATTGCTTATAGCAATGTTGGCCAAGGTAATACAATTAGTTCAATATGCTGAGAGGCGAGAGATGAAAAAAAACCTGATCGAGTTAGACGTTGAATCGAAGGTAGGGTAAGGTTTCTACTTGGATTGTGTCGGCTGTTTGGTCGATTGAAAATAGCAAAAGGTTTTTCGTTGGGAGACATATAATTGCGATGTATGCACATACTACTCTAACACAATAATTCATTTTCTCAAAAAACTAATTCTTTGTCATATGTAAGGAACTAGATTGGAAAAGGAGTGAAACGCATTTTACTAACACCCATAAAAATAACATGAATAGAGTAATATGTGTTCAATTATACGTGTCGGTGGACGCTGAATTTGTTATTCAATATCGTACTAGCTGCTGGCAATTGGTAAATGATAGTTCATTGTAGTGTATCACATGTGAATTTTTGAAACAAATATTGTAAAGTATGCTTTGAGTTTGATATGTAAAGTAAATAGAGTAGTATTTATTCGTTAGGGCATAGTTTTATTTAAATAGTAGTTTATGTTTAAATTTATTTTAAAAATCATTATTGTATTTATTCAATATAGAGGATTGTAAATACAAGATAAATTTGGGGGATAACACCATCCGACTTATACTGGAGGATATGTCTTTTTAAATTCTGTCTTATTATGTATTATTTCGATATGCATGACTGCATTAGTTTTTTCACTTTTTTACTTTACAATTTTTAAGAAACAGATTTAGTTTTGTTCATAATTTTTTTCATTTATGTTTTACTAACATAAATATTACTTAAATATTCTTTATGGGTTTGTATATAACAAAGTTGTTGCTAAAACTTGTGAATACTGCAAAGTTTATGCATAAAAACTGTACTACTTAATCATTCAGGTATGTAAAGTAAAATATAATTCCTAAGTGAACATTGTAGTTTTGAGTAACATCAGTCTTGGTAGTTGTCAAGCCAAAGAACATAATATGTTTGGCTTAACAACTCTATAATGAACGTAATTACTTTATCAGACTACTGCTACGGCGTAGCAAGTAAGCTCTCCTTATCATGTTGGCGAAGTGTCTAGAGGATAATGCATGTAAATTTTAACAAGCTTGGTATGTGGAGTATTGGACTCAATCCAGACAGATTTTTTCCTGGCAGCGCATCCTTCTTTTTTCTTCTTCCCGCCCAACTTTGCGGTTCTTTTACTATCCGCTACCATCATACACCGTTATTATGCCATTTTAAGTCATTTTAATCATTTGTGTAATGAAGTTAGATTTGACCAATCACAAATTACACATTTCATAAAATAATGTAATATAATTATAAAAAGGGCACGCTTTCAAACGATAAATTATGGTATATGTTTATCTTGTGATACCATAATGAATTTTAGCATAGCGAAATATTCATTTTATTCGGTGATGCGTAAGTCACTCACGTTTCGCTAACGGCAGATCATGCCCTTTATGAGTATGATAAAAAGGTGTTACAAGGCTCTTTAATAGCGATCGTTTCAGGCAGCAAGCTTGCCAAATGTTACATTTGCAATAAGCTTTAATGGCTTACTTTCACCGACGCATATTAAATAACCTATTACTGGTCGCATATTTAATATTACAGATCTAAAAAGACAATAAAAAAAAAAAACGTTGGTTTCTGCAGAGTTCCGAAGGATTGTAGCTAGCGAATCTTAAGAACCTAACAGGCACGTAATATGGCGGAAAGCCATAATTGGCGACATACAGCTTTTTTTTAAATATCGTCTAAGTAGATTTTATATAACTTTATAGAATATTTTCAGTTCAATTTCGTGCTATTTTTATATTCGTAAGTACACACGGCATTTGTTGTAGTACGCCGCGTTAAATTTGTATTCCAGGGCTAGTCTGAAATTTACGCTTACACACAACTCCGATCCAATCTGTAGTGCCGACACCAGTGGAAATTAGAATTGCAATT